TTTAGGGATGCCTGGCAGATTATGATTGGCTAAAGTTTTAACAAAGAAAGGTCAGTTATAAGTTATAGAAAAATTCCACTTGTACAGTAACATTTAAAGTTCATACAACACCTGGGGTGGGGGTTATTTTCAGCTTAAGCAGTCTCTGTTTGACCTGGTTTGGTCTGTTTGTTCTGCCTTGCGGCTACTGGAAACAGGACGTGCCTGCCTGGGGGTTGAGCCCTGCAACAGAACTATTTTATGACTAACAGTTATGCTTGGCTAAAGCGTATCATGCTACATTCTTTGTTGTGGGTCTGGTTGCTCGTTCCTTCCCTGGCCTGGAGCGCTGCCTCAACAGGGTCTTGCCGGCCACAACAGTGGAGGGATGATAAGTTTTCATGTTTCTCTTTTTTTAGTGTAGATGTTTGGTAGAATTCATCAATGAAGCCATTTGGACCTGGAGTTTTACTTGTTGAAGAGTTTTAACTATGATTAAAATTTTCTTTAATGGATAGAGGAATTTTTAGATTAAGTATTTCTTTTTAAGCAAGTTTTGGTAACATTTCTTTCCCAAATTTGTGCATTTCAATAATGTTGTTTGATTTATGGGCACAGAGTTGTCAGTAAAATTTGATTACTATGCTTTCAATATCTGTTGGATCTGTAATGATGTCCCTTCTTCAATTCCTGATATTGGTAATCTGTTTCTTCTTTTTTTTTTTGTCCAGATCAGTCTGGTTATGTGTTTGTGAATTATATTAATCTTTTCATTGAGCCTGGTTTTGGTGTTATTAATTTTCTCTGTTTTTAATTTCATTATTTTCTGTTTATATCAATATTTCTTCCTTTTATTTGCTTTTAGTTAATTTATTTGTCTTTTTCTATTTTCTTAATATGGAAGTTTAGATCATTTTTCTTGTTTAATATAAACATGTAATTATATATATTTCCCAAGAACTGTTTTAGCTTCTTTCTACAAATTTTGGTTATATGTTGTCATTGTCATTCAGTCAAAATATTTTCTAATTTTTCTGTGACTTCCTCTTTGATCTGAAGATTCATCAGAAGTGATCTAATTTATATATATTTGGGCATTTTCCATATATTTTTCTGTTACTGATTTTCAGTCAATTTCACTTTGGTAAAAGAATATATTTCATATAAGTTGATAGGTGTGGTTTTTTATGTTGTTTTTAATTTATTGAGGTTAGTTTTATGGCTCAGATATGATCTATCTTGGAGAATATTTCATATGTACTTGAAAAGGATATGTTGATCTTGTTGGGTGGAAAGTTCTATAAACATCAATTTGGTTCATAGTCTTCTGTCAACCAGGTGTCTATATCTTTACTGATTTTTTTTTTTTTTTTTTTTTTGTCTAATCATCCCGTTAGTTAGAGAGAGAAGTGATGAAGTCCCTATTTGTAATTATGAACTTGTCTATTTCTCTTTTTATTTCATAGTTTTCCCCTCACTTATTTTAACAGCCTGTTGTTGAGTACATAAACATTCAGGAATATTGTGTGTTTTTTGGAAAATGTATCCCTTCATTGTCATGGTACTATACTTTCTTTAACTGTATATTCATGTTTAAAGTGGATTTTTAAAAATAGATTTTTATTGATTTCAGAAAGTGAGAGAGACAGAGAGAAATCAGTGATGAGAGGTCATTGGTTGGCTTCCTACTGAGGATAGAGCCTGTGACCCAAGCATGTGCCCTGTCAGGAAATCGAACTATGACCTCCTTGTTCATAGGTCGATGTTAAACCATTTCTTGTCTTTTATACATAATGGTGCAATAAACATGGGTTAATATATGTCTTTTTGAGTTAGTGATTTCACTTTCTTCAAATAAATAGCCAGAAGTAGATTGCGGAATCATGTGGTAGTTCTATTTTTTTTTAATATGTTTTATTAATTTTTTACAGAGAGGAAGGGAGAGGGATAGAGAGTTAGAAACATTGATGAGAGAGATACATCCACCAGCTGCCTCCTGCACACTCCTTACTGGTGATGTGCCCGCAACCAATGTACATGCCCTTGAGCGGAATCGAATCTGGGATCTTTCAGTCCACAGACCAATGCTCTATCTGAGCCAAACCGGTTTCAGCGGTAGTTCTATTTTTTAATTTTTTTATGAACCTCTATACTTTTTCCATAGCACTAGCTATACCAATTTACATTTTCACCAACAGTGCACAAGGGTTCTCTTTTCTTTATGTTTTCACCAACACTTGTTATTTCTAGTCTTTTTGATAATGGCTTTTTGAAGGAATAATCTCATTGTGGTTTTGATTTTCATTTTCCTGAGAACTAGTGACGCTGAACATCTTTTCATATACATGTTGACCATCCGTTTATTATTTTTGGAAAAATGTCTATTCAGATTCTCTGCCCAATTTTTAATCAGATTGATTGTTTTTTCTATTGATTTGTATGAGTTCTTTATATATTTTGGATATTCACCTCTTACAGATATATGTTTTACTTATATTTTCCCTATTTAGTAGGTTGCCTTTTTATTTTGTTGATGGTTTCCTTTGTTATACAGAGCTTTTTAGTTTGATTTAGTCCCAATTGCTTATTTTTGTTTGGTTGTTTTTGTTCCCTTTAATTTTGGTGTCAAATTTAAATAATTAGAGCCTATGTTTTCTTTTAGAAGTTTTATGGTTTTAGGTCTTACATTTAAGTCTTTAATCCAGTTTTAGTTAGTTTTGGGGTATGATGTATAATTGTGATTCATTCTCTTTACCTTTGTCTGAGGCTGTCCAGTTTTCCCAGCAATTATTGAAGAGTCTGTTAATATATTTTTGTCTGCTTTATTGCAAATTAATTGACTATATATGAGTGAGTTTAATTATGGGGTCTCTAATCTCTTTGATCTGTGTGTCTCTTTAAGCTAATATCATACCATTTTGATCATTATAGCTTTGTAATATAATTTGAAATCAGGGAGCATGATGCCTCCAACTTTGTTCATTTTTCTCAATATTGCTTTGACTATATGGGGTCTTTTGTGCATATAAATTTCAGAATTATTTGTTTCATTTCTGTGAAAAATGTCATCAAGATTTTATAGGATTGCATTGAATCTGTATATTGCTTTAAGTAGTATGGGCATTTTTAACAATATTATACAAATACTAGAGGCCCGATGCACGAAATTCATGCAAGGGGCTCGGCCCTTGTAGCCATGACAGCTTACCTCAGCCCTCGCAGCCCCAGCTTCATTGGGAAGGTCTTTCGGCTGTCCAGTCTAATTAGCATATTATGCTTTTGTTATTATACAATAGATATGCAGAACATTCTATCCTAAAGCGATGGAATATACGTTATTCTCAAGTGCACATTGAATGTTGTTGAGGATAAGTCATATGTCAGTCCTCAAAACAAGTGGTAAAAATTTAAGAAGATTAAAATTATATCAAGCATCTTTTGTAACCACAATAGTATGAAACTAGAAATCAACTTACAAGAAGAAAACCATAAAATTTGCTAATTTGTGGAGAATAAGCAACATGCTGTTAAACAATCAATGGGTCACAGAAGAAATCCGAGAAAAATTAAAAAAAAAAAAATACCCCGAGATAAGTGAAAATGGAAATAGAGCATACCAAAACATTGGGATGCAACAGTAACTGTTGTAAGAGAGAAGTTCACAGAAATAACTGCTTACAAAAAGAAACAAACACCTAACTTTACACCTTAAGGACCTAGAGAAAGAAAAAAAAAAGTACAAAGCATTTAGAAATAAGGAATTAACATAGATCAGAGCTAAAATAAATGAAACAAAAACTGAAAAGACAATAGGAAATATTAATGAGTTGATTAGTTAAAAACATAAACAAAACTGACAAATCTTTAGCTAGAGAGGACTCAAATAAAATCTAGAATGAAAGAGATGTTATAACTGATACCACAAAAATAGATTCACAACAGACTGCTATGAACAATTGTACACCTAGGAAATTTGGTGTACAATTTTACAACCTAGAAAAAATTTGACAACCTAGAAAAAAGATAAATTCCTAGTCATACAATCTGCCAAGACTGAATCATTAAGGAAGAGAAAATCTGAATAGATTACTAGTAAAAAGATTGAATCAATAATAAAAAATTCCCAACAAACAAAAGGGCAAGATCAGATAGCTTCACTGCTAATTTCTATTGAACATTCTAAGAAAATTAATACCAACTCTTCTTAACTTTTCCAAAAAATAGAAGAGGAGGAAACACTTCCAAACCCATTTTATGAGGCCTGCATCACTGATACTAAAACTAGACAGGGTATCACAAGAAAATTACAGGCCAATATTCCCAACTATTATATAAGCAAAAATCCTTAACAGAATAGTAGCAGATCAAATTCAACAGTACATTAAAAGGATCATATACTATAATCAAGTGGGATTTGTTCCAGGAATGCAAAGATACCAGTAGTTTATCATCTACAAATCAATCAATGTGATACACCATATTAACAGAATGAAAGATAAAAATTATATGATCATCTTAATAGATATAGCCAACAGCTGACATCATATTCATCAGGAGAAAGCTAAAAGCTTTTCCTGTTTAGATCAGAGCAAGACAGAGTGCTCACTCTTACCACTTTTATTCAGCTTTCATAAGTCCTGGCCAGAGTAATTAGGCAAGAAAAAGAAATAAAGGGCATCCAAGTTGGAAAGGGAGAAATAAAACTGTCACTGTTTGCAGATGACATTTTTTAAGGCATTATGAAAGCAGATATATCTCAAGTACATCTGTAACCTGTTATCTAGAAATGCTTATTTAATTGTAAAGTTATATAAGCTAAATACCTGAGATTGGATTTTTTTTTATTATTATTATCGTCTAAAGTTTTATATATGCATCCTTTTTCTGAGATTGGAATTTAGGAGTTTTGAGTTTCGGGCTTTTTATCTAGAATATTTACCTTTAGTTCCTCATTTTATCAAATATCATACATCTTAGGTAATTAGTAAAAATTAATGTTTGATTTCATTTTCTACTTTTAGTGTTAAATGTTTACAAAAGACCGTGAAAGACTCTTATCACATAATGTGTAGACCATGTGCCTGTGAACTTGAAGTTTGCGCAAAATGTGGAAAGAAAGAAGACATTGTTACTCCGTGAGTATTTCTTTTATGTTTAGGTTTTAGTAATTGGCAAGCCAATTTTATTTAAGGAAATGTTCATTAGCTCTGAGGGTTTTGGTAAGTTTCAGTGTATCACACTAATGTAGACTTTTTCTGCCTAATAGGAAAAAAGTCTTAATTTATCATTACAGGTTGAAGTGAAACTTTATAAGTAAAACTTCATATTTTTAGGAAATTAAAATATTTATCTGTGATGTTCATATTCATTACTCATTATTGAAAATTCCTTATTATGTGACTACTTTTCTTTATGGGACATCATGCATTATTTTTTTTGAGCCTACTTTGACAACAGTCAATAACTATATGTTGAAAAATACATTAAAGAATTATAATAATATAATTTGATGGGTTTTAACATAGTCTTCAAGGATTTTTTTCTCTTTACTTATTTTATTAGGCTTCTGTTAATCAGGAAATGTAGTGGAAAGTTATTTTCAATCTACATATGTAAATAGTGAAAGCCTGGGAAATAAAAAGGTTTTTCTTTCTATCTTTAGGTTTAATAAAGAACCAGAAAAGACAGAAAACAATGAAAATAATCCACATTCCAATTGTAGAAGAAGATGCAGAAGAAATAAAGAAGAAATTGATTATTTAGATTTTAATATTGATTTAGATGACTCAGAAGAAGATGACAATCAAATAGATTAATGTATTAAAAATCAGTGTGAAAACATGAAATTCTGAACAATTTTAGACTTTGAGTGTTTTATAGAAAAATACTGTGAAATCCTAATAAAGAATTTAAAACGACCTATAGAAAATGATAACATTTATACTTGGACAATATAAATTGTGTATAATATTTGAACAATTATAAAGCTTTTGCAGAGTTTTCTTACAATAGATTTCCAAGTAACATAAGCTAAAAGATCTGCCAAGTGAGCATTGAGGTATCATAATGCAGTTCATGGGAATTATGTAGAAGAATGTCAAAGTAACAAGATTCAGAATTGATGGTTTTGTAAGAACTATCTCATAGAAAAAATTAGATGACATTGTTAGCCTCAAAAATTGGTCCTCAGGTATGTACTTTTTGATAAATTTACCTCAAGTAAAGTACCCCTAAACAAAAGCCTCCTTTGTTAATGTTTGGCTGCTTTATAAAGCAAAAAGTTAATTTTTAAAATAATAATGTTTAACAAGTATGTAGCAGTTTTTTAAAATGTATTTTTATCATCACATTTTAACCTTTTTTCTTTTATAAAATATACATACAGAAAACTGCATAAAATATATATGTATAGTTTAGTAAATATTTATAAAGGAAACTCATACATCTATCACACAGATGAAGAAACTACTAAAAAATGTAAATTAACTTTATCTGATTTTTGAACTTTTTTCTTTTTATTATGAAAAATCTCAAACCTAAAGAAAAGTAGCAAAATAATGCAATGAACCTTTGTATAATCCTACCTAGATTCATATTTGTTAACAGTTTGCCCCTTTTGTCTGAATAGGTAGATATGGATATATATTTTATTTGCTGAACCATTTAAAAATAAGTGGCAGGCATTAGTTTTGAATGCACTTTTGCACGTTATTTTGTACCTCTTTTATTAATATGAAATTTGTGAGATTGATTCAGGTTGTTGCAAAAGCTGTTACTAGTTCATTTAGATGTCTCTGTTTTATTCTATTATATTTATGCACCACAATTTATATTATATTCTATATATAAATAGAATATATATTGACAGACATTTGAGTTATCTCAATTTTCCTCTATTATAAACAATACTGCTTAGAGCATTGTTATATGTGTTTTTAGTACACGTTTTATTTCTTGGTACACATTTTTGTGTACATGAATCTAGCAGTGGTCGAGGGCATCAGTAATGTATCGTGCCAGCTGTCTTTTCAGAGGGACTGCCATCTCTTCCCCACAGCAGTGTATCCAAGTTCCAGTGCTCTGCATTGTTTCCAACATTTGGTATCAGATTGGTGAATTTCTGTCAGTTTGGTAAGTGTGCAGTATACATTTTGCCTGGTTAAGAGTGTAATGTCAATTTAAAATATTTCAACATAGTCCTTGCCTGGGTAGCTCAGTTAGTTAGAGTGTTGTCCTGATACACCAAGATTGTGAGTTCTATCCCCGGTCAGAGCACATACAAAAAGTAACCAATGAATGTATCAATAAGTGGAACAACAAATCAATGTTTTCCTCTCTCTGTTTCTCTCTCCCTCTCTGAAAAATCAATCAGTAAAAAAAAAGTTTTGAAAATTTTTAACGTAAAAAAGTAAAGACAGATAACGTTACAGTGGTATCAAAGATATGTTAACCAGAAATAAATTTTAAAAATACTCAAGAACTCTGTCAACAAAATCTTATCAAGACATTAAAGAAAATGAAGGAAAAAAAAATAGAGAAAGATGAAATTAGAGAGAGATACCATGTTCATTATGTGGAAGTCTCAATACTCTAACCTTACAGTCTTACTAAAAATTTCTTTGGGTGGCTTACCTGTTTGCATATAAATTTATTTTCTGGACTGTATAACTTTTGTGGCTAAAGAGACTACTGAATTTTTATTAGGCCTAGAATAAGTTCTTTCCCTCTGAGTAAGTAATAAGTCCTCAGATTACCAGGAGAGAAATTTAACAAACAGCATCACCTAGTGACACCTACTAATATCTGCATTTCGTTCTTTAGTGCTAACAAATATTGTGTTTTCTTTTAACAGACTTCAATTTAATTGTTATATGTAGATCATTTTTAAAAAATTACTTTTATTGATTTTTAGAGAGAAAGAAAGGGAGAGAGAATAAACATCAATGTGAGAGTGGCTGGCTACCTCCTGAATGCCCTCTACCAGGGATTGACCCCGCAACCTGTGCCCTGACCGGGAATCGAACTGGCAACCCTTCTGTGCATGGGATGACACCCAATCAATGAGCCACACCAGCTAGGGCTATTTAGTTTATTTTCATTTATTTATTTAGGAATTATCCTTTCTAATCCAAAAAGGTGTGTGTGTGTGTGTGTGTGTGTGTGTGTGTGTATGTGTGTGTGTTTAATTGAAGCCCAACATGGATCTAAATCTTGGCTCAGTCAATAGCTATAGGACTTGATACAAATTAATTTTTCTGTGCCTTGATTTCTAAGAGGTTGTTAGAAGGATTAAATGCATTAATATGTAAAATACTTAGAACCTGTAAAACCACTACACAAGTGTTATTATTGCTACTATTGAATGTATATGTATAAATTAATTAGTAACGAGCATCAATTTGATTGTTTGCCTATATTCTACAAAAGAAGACATATGTATCTGGAATGCAGAAAAAAAAAATAATATATATATATATACATACACACACATATATCCTGTTGATGCCAGAGGAATTCAAGGACCAGACTTGGTTTTTCGGGTGCCACTGAAAGAAGCATTTTCAGAAGCCCCCACTGGAGGCTGGGTTGTGGAAACAGGCTTTATTGGCATGGAGTTACATTTCTTGGGTTCCAAAGTCCCCTGTTTCTTAAGCCAGTCCTGGAAAAGGTGTAGCTGGGAGTCCAGCAAAGTCAGAAACAAGGGCAGTGTCCACAGCTCCTGTTCCATGTTGTAGCTGAGTGTGGTTCAACATTCAGGCTAATTAAAGTTTATTATTCCATGAATGGAGCTCAACATGGCTATGTGCCATGCAGGTGCAGGACACTCAGCCCCCTGCAGCAGGAGTTCCAGGAGCCAGAGACCTAGAGCCTTCTTTGTCTAGAAATATATGTATTTAGATTTCATGCACATGTAATGGCCATATCCATGCTGGCCAATTTCCTGTTTCCAGGTGTGATTGACAGGCAAGCGTTTTCTCATGTTACGCAGGCCTTGTTGAGCATGCATCTGATCAGCAGAGAATAGACTTGGAGAGTGCTAAATGCATTTTTTTTCCGCAAAATTGTATAAATGGCGCGTCTGTATCTATTATAGCTTCCCGTTTACTCCTTTCCTGCTAAATAACAATCTGGTTTCAGAGTCTGTGTTTTTTTTATTTATTTAACTACTGCCCTATAGTACCACTGTGTTCACATGTCAAAAGCATTTCTAGGTAAATAGAGAAAGCTATATTATAGGTCGGATATGGCACAAGCAAGTTATTAGGTTGCTAAGAAGGCTTGGATTAATAATGGTAACAATATAATGGTTAACATTCATTCATTCAACAAATCATCTTTGAGCACCTATGTGTGCGAAACACTGTTCAAAATACTTGGGGTACAGCAATCAACAAAACAAATGTCCTTTCAGTGGGTAAAGACAGACAATGAGTAGTAAACATAATAAGTAAATTATATATTAGAAGGTGAAAGGTTCTATGAGAAAAAATAAGGCATGGTGGTATGATTGAAAGTCTAAGGGCATGGATGAGGTGGAGAGGAGGGTGCACAGGTGGGTGGGAAGTAGGCTATGATCTTCATATATAAAAGCCAAGCACCAAGAATGACTGGAATGGCTGGTTGCTATGATGCACACTGCAGCGGCCAACCAGCCCAACTGGGGCCCCAATTGCCCCCTCCCTCCCAATTGCCCACGGTCCCTCCCCCTGGCTGGCCCCACTCCCAATCGGGAGTGGGACCAGCCTTGGCCCCAGTTGGTCCTCCCCTCAGGGGTGGGGCCAGCTGACCTCCTACATCCCCTCCCCTCTACCAGCCCAGCCCAGTGGCCCCCATCGGGGCAGGCTGGCCAGACCCCACCTATACATGAATTCGTGCACCTGGCCTCTAGTTTTTAAATAAAGTGGAGAGACATTTTTGGGAAGAATGTTCCAGGCTAAAGAAACAGCCACTACAAGGACTCTAACCCAAGATTTGCCAAGCATGTTTAAGGAACAGCAAGGAAGAGAATGATTAAGAAAGAGAGTCCTATGAGGTAAGATCACATGCTTTTAATATGTTTTCTATCTTTGATTTTCATGCATTTGACGATAATTTCTAAGTTGTGAATTTCTTATTTATGCCACCTAAGGTTTTCTGACCTTTATTGGTAAATGTCCTTACACCAACTTGGAAAATGGTTGGTCATTATATCTTCAAATATTGCTTTTTCTTGTTATTGCCTCTGCTTCCAGCATGCCAGTTAGATTTACTGTTGGAACTTTTTTATTCCTGTCTTTCTTGTGCTCTGTTTTCTTTTCTTTTTTTTCTTTTTTTTTTTTTACTTTTTTTTTCTGTGCTTCAATTTATATATTTTCTATTGTTTGGGCTGACATTACTTTTATAATAGGATTAATGTGTTCAGTCTGCTTTTAAACCCATCTAATAAATTCTTAACTTCAGATACTGAATTTTGCAGTTCTAAAATGTCCATCTGAATCTTTTTATAGATTTTAATTGTGTTAAAAGATTGCTTGTTACCTTTCTTGTCCATATTTTTCTCTATTTTCTTGACATTAATGTAGCTATATTGAAGTCCTTGTTCACTTTTGTTTGCTTTTAATAGATTATTTTATCTCTTGATTTTCAGTCACTATCCCCAGCTTTGCATGTCTAATGATTTTTATTGTATGCTAGAAATTATAGAGGCTCTCTCTAAAAAATGAATTACTATAGATCACTTTGCTCCTGTCAGAACTTGGGCTTAAAATTTGTTAGGGGTGGTCTATTTCAGTTTCACACTTCTTTCTAGACGTCCTCATTTCTATCTCTTACTCCTCGAGTGTTGTCTTTATTCCCAAGCACGTAT